CTAATTGGCTGGATCAGTTCATAACTGATAAATCGACATTTTAAGGTCAGGGTCAACTCTAATCTATCACAGGCTATGGAATGTCCTAGTGAGGTGCCCCAGGGCTCAGTACTGAGACCTCTTCTCTTCTTGATTTATATAAATGATCTTCCTCAACAGGTGTCGTAGACTTATTACTTTTTTCTGATGACGTGAAATTTCGGAGATAATAAGCAAACAAGAGAATATGCAGGGACTTCGGGAGGATCTCACTCGACTTCGAAGTTGGGCAGACGACAACGGACATATCTTTAACAATTCAAAAAGCAAAGTATCCATCTGCGACATGTCGCAGATAACAGTTATAACCTAAGAAACTCCTCTCTAGTAGTACGTCGAGTCGAAAAACATTTAGGAGTCCTGGTGTCCTACGATTTAAAGTCTTACTCTAACTGCGACAGAAATGTCTTTCGAGCAAACCCTGCACTGGTAACATTGAAGCGCACTTTTGGTCAGTTTGACGGAAGAACCCTCCACATAATCTTCAATAGTTTTATTCGTCCCCATTTAGAGTACGCAGACATAGTATTTCCTCCTACACTCCAAAAGGACAAGGACACTCTGGAGCGTATCCCACGGCGTGCCACGAAATCAGTTAGGGGACTCAAATTTAAACCTTGTGAAGAGCGCCTCTAACCACTTGACCTTTACCCATTAGAGTATAGACGCCTTAGAGGTGTCCTTCTAATGACTTACAGTATCCTTAACACTTCTGGGCATCCTCGCAAACGCCCACTTAAGCTTAGTGCCAATACTAACCTAAGGATTAACACCCAGAAATTAGAGATACAACATAGTCGAACGTACTACAGGCATAACTTCTACTTCTTAAGAGTTGTCAAATGCTGGAATTCACTGCCGGCTGAGCTAGTCCAAGCAACTTCCCAGGAGTTCTTTAAGAGGCGACTTGATCTATTCTTAAGGACTAAGGATAGTATCTTACTATGATTTGCCAATTTCTTCTTTTCTCTTTACCTAGGTTCCTGCCTGGAGGTATTGGTGATCCCTGCTACTAGACAGGGAAGCCTGTTAAGCGAAAGCTTCTTCTATTCCGTCCACAACCATTTGAACCACTTGAACCATTTGACATATTACAAAGAATATAAAATAGGATTTGACGTCTTCAATTTGTATAATGTATGTAATTATGGCAAAAAACCTTTCTATATTTTTAGTAGCTTACACATTAATCAGTATTAACAAATTTACAAGAAAAAACGACTTTAATACTTTATCATGCATTTGTGGTTAGTGAAGAGGTTATGAAATAGATCTGTTCTCCTGTACTCAAAAGGCGTTTACATAACCTGACGAAATGGGAAGATGTGAATAGTATTTGAAGTCCCACTTTTGCATATTACATGTTCCACAACTTTTCGATTATTAATACAGTATTCATCAGGTCTAACACTGAACCTTTCAGGTAAATGATCATAACTGAGGTAGCCGTAGAAATGTAGTGATTTTGACAGGATTATATTCTGTTTTGTACCTCTTAAACTGTGAGAATATGGCGCTGAACACCGATTTATCCCTTTTAATATTCTTTCACAGCATTATTTTCTGCTGCTCACCTTTTTTCTGTTTCTTTCACGTCTTGAATAAACTGGAGTATTCTGTAGTTTGACTCAACAGGGATATATAAAAGTATTAAATAAGTAAGTACTATTAGAATAAATGTTTTCGAAAATATTTTCGTTGTTCTTACTTCAATTCTGTGGGTTAAATTACATACAGTAGGGAAATTATTTGCCTTTAAACATTTATTTGCACTGTAGCAGAACGACTGTACTTTACTCACGAATTGTATACTCATGGATAATTACACCTAGTGAGAAAACTATTCACCCTTACTTAAGCATTCAGTTATGTCAAGCGAGTCGCAAATTGCTTGTACCAGATGGTATTTTATCTTTGACATTCAGAAACTTGAATTGTGCAACACTATTTACTCACAACATCCCTCAATGATAGAAGAGCACGGAAAACTCAATGAAACCCATATGAACTAAACAATACAAGTTTAGTGAAAAGACGCAATTCAAAGTCATTTAAAACCACAACTCCAATAAATCCGCAAGCCCAACTGTAAGAAACGCTGAACGAAACACGACATCCATATTCCAACACAGTGATGTCGGAGAATGTGTTATTATTGTTTGTAGCCACAGAATACTCACATTACCACTAAACATTTACATGCTGTGAAGTGACTACTTGATAAGTTACACGGAGTCGTAAACGACTACCCGGCCCTTATTGAAATACTTGCCTTGTCGACTGCACTCAAGAAGCGGAAGATAGGTTGGCTGCGGCTACAGAGCATAGATAATTCTAGTCATAGGGGCGTGGTATACCAAGCTTTGTATCTTAAGAAACCACTTAGGTGCTAATTCGGCATATTTCCTGACTTCTTGATTTCTTAGTCTTCACGGTTATTACATAGATTTGTAAGGATTTTCATATGATAAAATGAATTCGGTGAGAAGTTTCTCTCATATGAAATCAACTAATTGGATCACATACTGTTGAACGTTCTCTCAACCCATTCATTGAATACACTTTAAGGCACTTTACAAAAACAATTAACACAAGCACACATGGATACTCTCTTATCATTACCAATACCAAGCGCTCAGTAATGAGATGTTGATTTCCATGAAGCACCGAATAAATTTTTCCGAAATGAATAAAATTTGATCGGCAATCAACCCTGAAATAAACGGATGATGAGTTCAGTAACCTACCACATATGTAATGGATTTCTATCCTGGCTAGCTATCTTATTGTTCACCATCCCATATGATTTTAACTCGTAGAAACACAAGATACCACCTTGGTTAGTAGAGATTTATTTATGGACTATCGGTTGGTTCTATGCACATTGTCAGTGTAATGTGTATCAATAGGTGAATTTGTGGATAACTAGGTTTATGGACATACATACTTAGTCGTTCATTCCTGTTCTGTGTTCATAAAAACGCCTATTACACTGTTTGCGTATTTAACGTCTACTTTATTTCTATTCCCTTATTTTCTTCCTTTCCTTCTTTAAACTCAATTCAATGTTCTTCTCAATTACACATAACCTGATTTATTATTATTTTATTATTATTATAACTCTTTTTTTCAAACATGGCAAATATAATGTTAACATTATTGGAGCTTTTGTATTAGTGCATTTTCGAAGGAATCCGAAATGGTTTCTTCACAACACTTATGTACCCACAAGATGTTTGTGAATAATAATAGTATTATTCACAATCATTAATTGGAATATCAGTGTTGTGAAGAAACCACTTCGGGTTTCCTCAGAAATGCAGTTACACGCACGTTTTAATAGTGTTTGCATAATATTCGCCATATTTAAACAGGTTCTGTAGAATTTGGTAAAACACTGAGTCGGTTTTAAAGAGGAATAAGGTAAAAGTTAAACGAAAACGAAGGAAGAAAGCATGAAGTATGTAAGCAGTTAATTTACATAGGTGGAACACAAGATAATGTGTCTGGAATTATAGTTTTTGGATGATTGCGAATGGAATTTATATGGAAGGGAGAAGAGAACTAGAGAGAAGAGAACGGAAGGGAAGAATATTTCATGCGTCAGAGGATCAATCATGATAGTAATAACAATGATAATAAATTTGAACATAAGCAGACTTTGAGTGTTTAGATGAACAGAAAGGAAATAAAATAAAATAACCAACAAAACTTCAAAGTTTCTACTTTGTTTTACAGTCACTCAGGTAGATATTGGATCTCGGTTGCATAAATCATTGACAATCACGCTGACATTTAATAAAGGATGCAAACCGCTTTCAGTAAGAATGTCATCAAAGAGATTTGGAACTGGGTCATATTTTCACTGCAACGGAGGCTCACTGAAATGTTTTACATGGTTGAATGGTGTATAGGGATGAAATTGCAGCGTATGTTTGTGTAGGTTCTTGTAATCAGTAGAAAATTCATTTTATTGAGTAGGTTGTGTGATGATATGATTGAATATGAAGGGTTAGATAACGAAGAGTAAGAAATATCATTCATAATTTGGTTGGTAAATACAAGGTTTAATTTAATGCTCCTGATCCAGGGAGATTCTGACTGGAGTTGCTGACATCTTTGGTGGTAATCATCGTTTTCAGAATAACTCATAACTGCTGTTGTGAAACTTCTTGGAACACCTTCAATTTTCATCAAGTCATTATGTCTACAATTACTGTACTCAAAAACTCACATCTGTTATGCACTAATAGTGGTGGAAAACCCCCAGAACAGATTGTTCATCAAGTCTTTGACATTGATGCTGACCTCATTAGTTTCACTGAACACACCCTGACTGAAAGCTCTCAGTCGCGTGCCCGCTCCAGATCATGAGTGGGTACATCGTGCTACGCGTCCCTTGCAACTACTAACCAGCTTAGACCAAACGCTTCTCGACATATCGATAGCCTTCCAAATGTATTTTCGGACCTGTTCATTTCTTACTTCTGAATCGACCGATTGAGTATACTTCGATTATAAAGATGTTACGTTTAAGGGTGTTGTGAAATTCCGAATACATGTGGCATATTTATTATTGCCTAGCGATTAAGTCAGTGCTCTGATTATTAGTTCAACAGTGTAGTTGTGTTTCATATCTCATAGTTGATGATAAGTTAAGTGACCAGTAGTGATTACTTTCAAACATATCCTGTAAGGTGACTTAAAAAACATTTTGAAAGTTTTGTATCAATATCTACAGATCATGGTCTATCAATCTTGCCGTCAGCCTGATTGGACACGATTGCATCAATAAATAACTTCTACAAAGGCATGTAAGATATTGGATACTGGATAAGCGCGTGAATAAAAAATATCGGTACTGTCCGTTAACCGGTGTTGATAGGTTCTTTGGTTTCACTGGACTACTTAGATAATTTATCCTTGCAGAAAAGCTTGGGCTCGTTAAAGGGAAATTTTCCATGCGTCAAAATCGTGACCTTTTGGAGCTTAAGGTATACATCGTTACTCGTATAATGATGTTTTAGGCTTTCATCCAACGCTGTCGGCGGGCAGATCTTGATAAACTTATAAAGTTAACCAATCTTCCTCGTGGAGGTTTAAAGCAGGATATTCAATTGAGACTTATTTCCTACCTTGACCAGGATCCTTCTACAGAATTCCTTTCTGCCCTTCATGAACTGAGGAGACTAATATATAATCCTGTCAGTAAGTTTTTGTTCTCATGGGACTCTATTTAATGTAACCCAACCAGTTGATTATGGGTGCTCGCATCTTTTTTTAATTTTATGATCTCCGCAAATTTTTTTCAACTAAGAATTTGAACTACGAATACTTGTGTAGCTAGTCTTAAGCTTATAAGCTTAAGCCGATTCCCTTAATATGGTTTTTTAGTTATAGTGTTTAAATAGGTTGATTTACATAGTAATGCTTAAAAACCATAATTATGTACTGGAAGTATTGTACATCCACTAAATTCTACTGGTACTCCACTGACCAGAGTGAAGTTCCCCAATTTGTACTACATTTATCATTGTTACAATGTTAGTCCAGCTATAAAATTCAGGTGCAAACTTGTCTTTACATACATTTGTAGCCTACACCTATCAAAACTAATCTTTGAGCTAAGGATGTTCTTTAGTTTCAGGGATCGCATGCGTTTGGTGGCAACACATTTTGAATAATGCTTATGTTCATTAGCCGGTATTTAGGTTTGGTAGAGATGTTGATTTAGTGAGTACTGCCATCTTAGAACACCTTATTTGTTTTCTTGGTTTGATTTTCCACATATCGTTCTATCAGTTTTCCTACACCGTGATATTTGGCGATACCGGTACACAGTGAAGAAATTAGAGAAAAGTTTGGTTTGTGACAGCACCGTCAAACGATAGTTAGTTGTTCTGGGTTGGGGTTAGAGTCGAATACATTAGCATGTACTTAGTCACATAATTAGAATATTTATTTAGAATTTTTGTGCTGGAATTACAGATTACAAATTGACAACTTGATTGTTCTGTAGAAATTGAGTGAAATGAACTCCCAGCATTACTTTAAATTTATAATTGAGTTTTCAAATAGTTGAATGAGGAAAATCATTAAACCTACACACTACTATCAAATATCCTGTTATCTTCTGAAGAGTCCTTTAAGAAGTATATATTAGTTTGTCGCTAATTTTCATATATACTCTGTTGTATCTAACTTTTTTCTGTATTCCAAACTTTTTATTGTTATTAAAAGTGATATAATTCGTGTTTCAGATTTCCAGTTCCAACAGTCAAATGGAAATTTCGACCCCCACTGTCCTTCGAACGACCCTCCCTCCTCGCTAATGTATTTAAGGGACCCTACCATTCGTTGTCCTACAGAATCGTCAAAGAATAGTGCAGGACCAAATCCATGTTTGACAGGTACAAAAACAAGCTGTGTATTACAGAAAGAGCAGTTGCGTCATAACCCTTACGTTTTACAGCCAAATACAAGTGTCTTTGAACAGTCATCTCCAGATGAATTGAATTCGACAAAAAACAGGCAACAAAAATCTCAACAAACAGTTTCATCCAATGAACTCCCGCAAAGTTCATTGTTTTCAGGGAATCCTGTGATTAACCCATCAGATTGGTCATCTTGGGAGTGTGTTAACAAATTGTTACCTGAAAACCGAGTAACGACATCTCAATCTTACACATCTGGGAAGTCCCAAGATTTAAGCAATTTTAATCCTCATTCTCACACAAATGTTGCCCCTTCTCTCCCTATTCTATCGAATTCATCTATGTCAGATGGGCATTCAAAAATACATATGCACTCTGAATGTCCTCAGAGTTCAATCCACACACTCAGTACAGACTCAAGAAAAGCTGCTGTCACACATAAAATAGGTCCACTTATAACATTAGCTGGAGGTAAGCCGCAGACTGCCGATGTATTTTTTTATTAGAATTTTTCGTCGCATGCATGTGGATCAGATTTTGTTGCTGTTAATTTATTCATAGTCATCTGTGGATTTCGCTTTTTTGTCTATTTATATGCTCTGAAAATTTAAAGTACCTTGAAATCTGGTTTATATTGTTAATTTTAATAGGGGAATTATTTACACAGTTCAGGTCAAGTATATATACCAGACAAAATGCACTTACATATATTTATAGGAATCGCAATAAAGTGATATGCTAGGAAGAATTCTGTTCTCAAGTATAGATTAACCAGAAACAGATTTCATAGTCACCTAAAGTATTCATTTCTTCAGAAAGCAATAACAAAAATTTAAGCAGAATAACATGAATTCATTTTATTTCGTTTGGTTCTCGTCAGTTGCTTACAACTTGTGATATTTTAAAACCATAATTACAAATGGGTTACAATTACTTGAAGGAGCACAGTTAGAAGTTACTTTAAAGACATCAGTGTAATATAGCAAGGGTGTAAATAAATTTAGTAGACCGAATAAAGTATTGTAAATACATACCTTATATAGAAAAAGTTCTATAACGTTGGTAATAATAAAGGTCCATAGGGCTAGAAACAAGTGGTTACGTAGTGAGTAAACGCCGATAAGAAGTAAGAATGATTAAAGCTAAGTTAATTAAAATTAATAATCTAGATGACAGTTAAAATGAAAAAGCGTAGTGATGTGATTAATTGAAAGAGTTAAACAAAATTTTATGATGCAATGAAGGAATATTTGCTATCAATAGAAGGAAAGTGTGGCGCATATATATTTGGTGCCCCCTTGTACCAATATTTATGTGTTCAAATAAATAATAAATAGAAGGAAAGAATACCAGTCATATCCTTTTCAACACATAAATCAGGTTTCTGACGCCTTATAGCAACGATTTTAGATAACTTCAGAAGTCTGGGGCAGGAGTATCACAGCCCTCACACATATCAAATGAGATTTGTGTGGCGCATATGTATTTGGTGCCTTCTTGTACCGATATTTATGTGTTACAATAAATAAATAAATAAATACTGGGGCTTGACTGTTTATTAACCACCTTGATAGATTTCAAGGTATTGACCTGATGTCCTGTATTCAAGAAACGCTTAGTAATTGCGCTGTTTAAAGTATTTCTTTCTCGTTCGTTCATTTTTGAAGGACTCGTCATATGAGGTTTTGTTTAATCAACTTTGATCCATAGTGCATGTGTGAGGGCTAGTAATGCGTCACTAACCAGTCGCCCAAACCAAAATAATTGGTATGGTATTCAAACCTGTGACCTTATAGTTGAAAGCTGAGTTTCGTAACCACTATATTACTGCTCCAAAACTAAAATTACACCATACTATTTGTGTTGTATAATAATTTGTCAATATAAGGTTTTGGGTTTGTATAAACTTGCAACGGATCTCTGTTACCACTCACATACGTGCTTGAACAGATAAATTATCCTGATTTTTCCATTTATCCTGTAACCCATATATTTTCCCTTACTTATTACTCTCTTGTAACATCTAGGTTGCTTTGTAGATATGTATATGCTAGGATGTGTGTCTGTACACTTATACCTCTTTCATGCTCATAAAGACTGAGTCACCTATTACTCGCTAAGTTGGTTATTTCTACCACTCCAGTCCACATGAATTTCTTTTCGTTCTCCTGCATCGTTAAATGTCTGAAATGTACGTCCTTCAAATACTTTCGTAATCGACTTTTTATATCTACGTTAATAATGCGATTTATCGGCAGGATATATACCAAGTAAATAGGATATATATTTTATTAACATCAGTATCATTTGATCATTATGGAGTTGGGTATAAGGCAGTTAGAAGCTGGAGTTTTGACCATAAGGTGACGTTTGTTAATATATGTTACGACTTAATCGCTTGAGTTGTTATGTTTTGTAGATAGTAACTGGCAGATTGTGGGTTTTTATCAGGAGAATATTAATGTTTGTCGTGTTGGGATACTTCTGTAAGTAACTGAATAATAGTCGTTTTGTTGGGATGGAACTCTTGGTCGTTAACTGTGCTAGAGTCATCGGTTTTCTTGTACTTGCACAGAAATTTAATTGATAAAATATGAATCGACTTGATGCTCATAACCGTTAATTTATTTTATCGATTTGGATCAACCACAGATTGGATGTTATTACCACAGTGAGGATATTTTTTACTTTCAATCTATTCTACTGATAGTCCTCATTGATAGAATATAGCATTGTACACTTGGATGTGACAGATGTTTCTTGTATAAGCGTTAGTAGTACTACCCCTCTGCTCAAACAGAAACATTTAGGATGAGGTTCTGACCTCCTGGATAGTTAAAAGCCCAGTTATTTATCCTCTTACCGAACATTCCTCAATTAAAGTACAGATATTTTATTCACTTATAAAAAGATTTAGTGGAAGTTGTCATTTGCACTTAGGATGGTTTTGAGTGGTTTCTTAACTGAAAATGGTTTGTTGATAAGTAAAGTTTCAAAATGGGGGAACACTACAAATATTGCAGAAATGACTGTTTTTGGATTGTAAATGGACGTATTCCTCTTATGTTTGACAGTTCTGTTTATCTTGTCTTCGTGTTCCAAATAGTTTCACCCAGATTTATCTTCAGCTTCTGTTACTTCCTAAAAATGAATGTATTATAAGTTATTAGAGTTTTCTTCCTAGGTCCTTCAGGTCCTAATGCTAATATGTTTTTCATATAATAATGATTACAATGCATTTATTCCTCTCGATAAGACAAGTCTACTCTCAATTTGTAACATCCAATTATGTAGTTGATGGATCGTTTCGGCTTCCCGCTGTTTTGCCTGAATTTCATTTCAAAGAGTCTCCATTTTTCAAACTGATCGATGTTCTTTTACCTCCGCAAATTATTCTCCCGGCCCACATTGGTTTTGCTACTGGACGTCGATCTTATGACCGTTCCTTGGCCTTGAGATTCACATCTGATCAAGTTGAAACCATTACTTATCACTGGTGAGTATGATTTATCTCGTCGTTTTGGTTACTTGTGTGTAGTCTTTTGTGGGATGACAGATTTACTTGTGCTTGCTCTGCATTTCTTCCGAAAAACTTTCAAAAAATCTTTGTGTTGAAAACCCAAAGTTCTCTAGTATTGGCACGGTTATTACCCAATATCATTTCTTATTTCTTAAAACGATACTGGTAACTTTATATCGAATCCCTCAACACCCTAGCTCTTAGCCTTACGTGAAGTCCGACAACAGTCCTCACTGACCGAAATTGTCACCCTTGGCCACGGAATTCTTGTTTGTGAACCATGCATTCTAGAATCGAGTACATTTATTCCCTTGATCTTATCTGGGCAGATGTTGGATTAAAATTAAGACAGATGATATAGAATACACTCGACCAAATCCTGTGATATTTATCACTGCACTTTTCAATTTTATACCTTTGTATGAGGACAACTATGCTCAGGAGATGGTGGCTAAAGAAGCAATTCAGTCACAAGGTGATAATTAGCTAAGGAGTAGCATGCAAACTTAGTGATCGGTAGGACTGTCTCTGAGAAAAACATTACCTTGATTAATTTTTGGAATTGATGTTTAAAACATAGAAGAAACATTTTAACTAACTTCTGGCTACGTTTTGGTTATTTTTCATTCCGAAAGCGTATGAGTAGGATATAATCATCGGCTTCTAAACTTTTACTATAATTGGGAAATCGGTGGCAAATCTGAGATGAGAGAAAGTGACAGGATCTTTTAGTTTGCTTCTATTAGAATATTAATCGTGAATTCTTGACCAAATTAACTGCAAAATTGACTTGGGTGTATAGATCAGAAATGTTTCTTATAGGATTACACATGGGTGTTGATCATTCTAGTCTAAAGAAAAGGGGAGTAGTTCAAAAAGTAACTAACTTGACTAACATGGCTTCTAAGATGTTATAGTCTATAATCTTTAGGAACAGCTTACCGTTTTGCAAAGGGAATCATTTCAGTTTTCATCATTGATTTGATTTACCTATCATGTCATCGTCAGAATTCTATCCTGCAAATACTGGTTATTTGTTAGCAAATACAGCGCGTTTACCAATTAAAAGCATTTTTTCTCTGACTAGGTGGATTTTGCTCGTAAGCTAGAAATATTATCCTGACTTCTTAGCTGAAGCAGCTGTAACGGATCTTGCGATCTAGCGGTTAATAACTGCTTGTACCAGTAAATGGTAGCTAGGTAGTTAGAGGAATTAAACCTAGAGCAATTCAGTCACATGTCTGAGTCCCATTCTACTTGTTTTTTTCCGGGTAATCCCTCAGTAAGGTGCTACTCAAAGCCGAGTAAGTAAATTACACTTGTAACCGGGATATTTCTTATCACGATACTAGCAACAAACTAGTTTCTTTTTGACTGAAACTTTTATATATTTAGCAGCTCCAACTCAATTTGATCGAGCGAACCAATAAAGAGGTCGACTCAACTTTGTATCGGTTTACTCCCAGTCACCAGCGTTTTGGAGAAAAGTATATTTGCCGCTGCTATCTATGATGATATAATAAAAAACGTATGGGTATTTGTGGAAGTTTTCGTCCTGGTTTCACAAACCACCCACTGAGAACAGGACTTAAGGGAGGGAGATTTAAGTTACCATTATGAAGAGACCTTTTCTTAACATTATCTTTATACAGAAACAAATCATTATGGCTAACTCGAAATTAATGTACCTGGAATTTCCTCATACCAATTTTTCGTTACTTATTTTTCTCGATAAATAAAGATTTCGATGCATCACTAACAGAAAGGTGTAATTTTGGGACTTTAAAAACAAAGTATTTTGGTCCACTGATATTACACTTAATTTTTTCATGGTAAAGTCAGTAAATTAATTGGATGGTTTTGTAAGACAATTCATCTGTTTTTCTTGTATGCAATTTATACTAGAATGCAAATTATGTAATATTTTTAAGATTATCAAATGTAGATTTATTAATGTCAATGCTTTTTAGCTGGCGTGGATCTGATGAACGAATGGAATTTGGAGTGCAAGTTATTATGCGTTTCGCTCGTCTAGATCCCCAAGCCTGCCAAGATCTAGTACAGACATATGAGTTGTATGGTAGTCGCAAGTCATCTAGTTTATCATTGGATAAACTCATTCAAATACCATTAGCTGAAGATAGTTTACCAGTTCATTTGATAATCCAAGTAAATGGCCGGCCTATCCAACTCCCACCTCTTTTACCAAGCAATCGTCCAGGAATGGATGGACGTCGTAATCCTAGACCTATTAATATCACTCAGTCTGTGAGTATATTTTTTTATATTTATAATTGTGAGACATTTGTCCGTAATTTAAATAGCGATTTCTTTTGCTCCCATTAATTAATATGACATTAAAATTGTTTTCGTAGATTAGTCTATTATTGTAAAATCTTAAATGACAAAATCATAAAGTATATTTTCGAGGAATGAGTTTTATGATGTACTGATTGTACATACTTTTGTTATCTTTGAGTTGTGAAATAAATAACAAAGTGTGGAATCGTTACGTTTGAAATATTCTAATAATCGGATATAGAATGAAACCTTTCATATGTATATAACAGAAAAACAACTAACCTCTGTTTGTTCGCTGGGAAAATACTTAGAATTGATGAAGAAATCTTTTGAAGCTGGTTTCATGGTTGCTATTCTTCAATTGTAATCATAAAGCTGGAGGGTAGCTTTGGTTACAGACAAATACATCAACTGGAGAACTATCAAAAGTTAAGGAGCACTGAAAAATCTGTTTAGTGATTAAATTATTTAATAATCGCACAATATTCGAAATTGATTGAAGTTGAAAAATTCCTAACTCAGTTTTTCACTGAGCGATTTCCATTTACTCACCCATTTATAACGCTTAACTCTTCAGGAAGGGTTAACTTCATTTTTATTTAAGACTATGACGTGTAATAATCTGAAAGATAGACTGCAAATTTAACTAGTCAGATCATAATGAATTTGAAATTATCTTGTGCATTTTTTGAAGTTATCCTGTAGTTGAATCGTCTTGATGATAATTATTTGATGGAACTGAGAATGGTATTTTGATTTTGGATTGATTTAAGATTAACTTGGATTTTTTTCCCAAACTTTCTCATTTATTAGCTTCATGTTTCCCCTACTGTTCCAAACTACATTAAATTAACTTGGACTCATGATTATTCTAGCTATACTTATAATGTTGTTGGAATATACTTGATGCGTAGACGTTCGCCTCAACAGTTGTGTGGTCTTCTACATTCGACTTCATTTCAAAATGCTAATGTAATGAGAGTAAGTCTCTGTCTTTATTTTTAGACGCTTCATTATCATAAACGGTATTGCCAATCGAACATTGTTGCTTTTCATCTTATGTATTTTATTTCACAGTAAGAGTCGTTGTGTCAATTTGAGCCATTGTTTTTTGGATCTGTTCTCCAACTAACTGTACATTAAAACAAATATATTAAATGTCGATTGGAGTATTTGTGTAGGTGATTAATTAACAAACTCTCTTATTACTTAAGACTGATTAAATTATAAACAAAACCTTTGGGTAGCCGTATTTGGACCAATGTTTCTAGATTATTTGTCCAATTCGTCGGTAATCAAGTCTATCAAACTCATGACTAGTTGTCATTTTTATTTCAGTTATTAAATATTGTGTATAATTTTCATTTAGAATGAATATCAAACTTGTCTTTATAATTCATCACTTAATTATTCTTAATCATAACTGCTTAATTGACTCAGACCAATCACAACTAAGTGGAAAACTGTGGATACTGTAGTGATTAAAATTTGTTTAGTAGAATTTCGGAATTTACAAGTTGCAATTATTTGATAGCATAAGTGTCATTTTAATCACAGCTGTGACCGTTTATTTTTTTGTGGCCCATTATCTGACTCCAATTTGATAGTGTGATTATCGTTAAGGAAATTTGCATATTGTCAATCCACGTATAAAATTATCGGCACGGATCATGCTAGTGAATGGCGGAGTTAAATAAGTCAAATACGAGAATGAAGTTTGAATACGTTTATTTCGTACAACCGTTGATCAAAACAGACAACCAGAGAGAAGTAGTGAAAGAAGCGAAGAGGAGAGAGCGAGGCGAGACGGACTGCAGAAGGCATGTGAACCAAATCAATTTAACCAAGGATTACTCAATATTCATAGTCAGACAAAAATAAGTTACAGATATGTAATGAATAGGATAAGAAATGCACACATCCACTTACATAAAAACAGTCAAGGTTAGTAAGCGAATAAGTGATAAGGTCAAAATGTGACTCAATAAAATGAATGAATTGGCCTGCCAGAAAGCTAGAATACGGTGTGTGGGCTTGACATGTCACCTGACACTACAATCTTCCATTGGTCAGCACTAAGTATTTTGAAAAAAATCTTTCCTATTTTGTCTGTATTATTAGTCAGTAATAATTTTGTTTTACAACTATTTATTTAATTTCCACTCAGATGGAAATCATAAAAAAACTTAGTCCTAACGCTACCACTGGTAATATTGGTAGTGTGAACAACCAAAGTCAGTCTTCAGCCCGTAATGAGAATGACGATGATGATGACGATTTAGTTATGCCAAATACACTTCCTGTTCAGCTTCTTTGTCCTTTATCTAAATGTCGTATTGAAGTACCTGTACGTGGACGTAATTGTCGTCATGTTCAGTGCTATGATGCAACAACTTATCTTATAATTAACGAACGTAAACCAACTTGGAATTGTCCTGTATGCGATGGTAAAGCTGTTTACGAAGATTTGATAGTTGATGGGTGAGTTTATAAAATCCTTTAGAATTTGATGTTACTGTACCAGTGGTAGTAATCAGACAAGGGTGGTTTGAGTATCGTGTTTTGTGTATGAAATGTATGTCGGTTGGTTTATTTTATCCAAATCATTTCTATGCTGTCTTGGTTTTAGTCAAAGTCTGTCAATAAAATGAGACTACTAAACTAAAAGTTTCTCCGGGTTGTTGCATTGTTTGATGGTATTGTTTCTTACAGGAAATAATAATAAAGGTGCAATAGGTGCTTGCTCTGTGATTTATTTCTTTATGAACGAATGCACTGTCGACACATATTATTCATAATAGAAGACCTCATTCACCTAAGCTGTGTATGTCTAAAATACTTAGAAGTATTGGCACAAGGACGTTTAAGATGTAGGTCATGCAAATCCTATTATGTCAGCAAATCAGGAACAGATTAAGGCAAAACTGACCAATACTGACTACCTTGAGCGATTTTTAAGATGAGTTCCGTATTAACTAGTCAATCAGGTTGAAACTTTTGTAGATAAAATGGGCATTAAGAAAAAAGTATAATTACAAATAATATATTTTCGGGATGCTACCAGCTTAACTCTATCATCTTAATGCAACACTTCTAGCCCTAATAATCTTAAAACAACTTCATTCCTGGTCTTGGTGCTTTTTTGCATATTATCTCTTGATAACAACTACATAAATCTCTGATCAATAGTCCAAGATTTCCATAGGTGACCTACATCATATCGTGTAAATCTCGTCAAAGGCATGATATCCGGTAGTAAAATATCGGTAATCCCATTTCAAAATTCGTCCATAAATTTATCAATTGCTTTATTCTGATTGATCAATTCTATTTGTTTCAAGTCTGTTAGTTTGGTTCTACCACCCTAACCAAGGACAATGTAAAGATTCTCAAACATCAGCCTAGATCCTTATAAGAGTTTTGGAAAACGGATAGTCAATGTTCATATTCGATAGATTTTTATTGCGTTGGTTTTTCTACCTAAAGACAGTAACACGTAGACGACATTAATGGATTCATTAACTATGTTAAATCTCTTTGTAGTTTGTTAGATTACTAGTTTCTTTTTACAAAAGCTTTCTTCTAATTGGCTGAAAACTTGTCGCGATTCTCTTAATCTCTTACCTGTAAGACTTCTCTGTTGTCATATAGATGAATGAATATCGCGGAACTATTCAAGAGGCTCTATCTAATTAGTTTGTTCAAAAAATATAGTGCCAATAAATCGATGTTTCTTTCAGGACTCAGCATTTAAGTTAAGGATTTGCGGATACTGTCGATTCACCTGTTATATTCAATATACAATGTGGGCGGGACATAGATTGGATTAAAATATGTCCAGCGCTAGCAGAGACCTGGAGAAGACTTCAGAATCTTATGTAAACACCATAAATATACTAACGTTTTTCTCATTATGATTATTTATATTTATTTATTTGAACACATAAATATTGGTACAGGGGGGCACCAAATATATATGCGCCACACAAAACAATGATAATTTGAAGAGAAGGAGAAAAAATATATACATAAAAAAAGTAATGAACGTGGGGAATTATAAAAAAAAGGAGGGAGAGAACAATGATGGAGAAAACGGAAATGTACAGTCAGAAGAAATCTTTTAGTTAAGGAAGATACAACCACTTTTAATGAAGAAAGTAAAAGAAGGTTACAGCAGGATCGCCATTGGCTTCTATTCTGAGCCATATCTCACAACGTCTCTAGCCACTGTGTTACACCATCTCTCGGACCCCAACCAGGGAGTCGTGAAGGACCAACAGAAGCTAGTCCTTTGCAGCTTTCTTTCATACCACGACACCATGTCATATACTGACCACCTCTCCGCTTTTTCCAACCAGTCCCAGAGTCGGCAAATAATGCACGACGTGGAATTCTCTGGGATGACATTCGTAGAACATGTCCAAGCCACCGAAGTCGGTGTTTCAAGATGGTGACACCAATTGCATTATCGTCTCTGTGACCGAACACACGATGCCTAACCTCTGCATTACTGACATAGTGTTGCCACTGGATGCCAGCGATCCTTCGGAGACAACGATGATCAAACACAGAGAGTCGTCTAACATCCTCAGATCGGAGAGGCCAGGTTTCACAAGCATAGAGAAAAACTGCTCTCACCGTCACGTTGTAGATCCGACCTTTTACAGCCAGACTAACATCACGAAGGCACCAAAAATGGCCCAGATTGGCATAAGCCGCTCTGGCTTTCACTATACGTGCATTGATCTCATCACTCACGCCACCTACAGCATTTATGCGACTACTTCTATCTGCTCACCATCCAGAGTGAGTACGGGATTAGAATCCTGCCAGTCTTGTAGAAGTACTTTGCACTTTGAAGGTGCGAAGCACATACCATACCTACGGACATTGATTGCCAACTGATTAAGTGCGGATTGCATGGCTTGGGCATTATCGCACAGTAAGACAATATCATCCACATACTCAAGGTCGAGAAGTCTTTCTCCAGGCAACAGATCCACACCACCATTACTTTCATCCGTCAGATCTGTTTCCAGAATGTCATCGATGGCAAAGTTGAAGAGGAATGGTGAGATTGGGCAACCCTGCCTAACTCCACTGCTTGAATGGAATAGTGGAGAAAGGTGGTTGTATGCCCCCACTCTGCCTGAGGTGTTTGTGTATAATGCTTTAAGGATGTTAATAAACTTCTCAGACACACCCTTCTTCAATAGACACTCCCAGAGAACAGTTCTGTCCAACGAATCGAAGGCAGCCCTGATGTCAATAAACACTACGATTGTTGGCCTTTGATAAGTATGACGGTGTTCTAACATTTGGCGGAGGGTGAAGATATGACCAATACGTCCTCGACCAGAACGAAACTCAGCCTGCTCCTCGCGTGTCAATCCTTCTCGGGTTCTGAACAATCTACGAAGTATGACGGAAGCCAATAGCTTGGACGCAATTGGAAGTAGACTTATCCCCCGATGGTTGTTACAGGAACAACGTGAACCCTTTTTAAAGATAGGGACAACTATCGACTCATTCCATGACGTTGGTACACTCTCTAGTTCCCAGACCTATGTAAACAACGTCGTCAGTCCCTTAGTCAGAAAGTCACCACCGTCTTTAAAAAGAGCCGGAGGTAAGTCGTCTGGGCCCGGTGATTTGTGAAGTTTCAAGAGTTGGAGTTCCTTGCGGACTTCCGCCTCATTTGGTGGATCAGTCGTCACCGGCCATGGAGGGCAGGACAGTCTGGCCGATGTTGCCGGAGCAGCAGGCCAGTTGAACTGCCCTTCGAAGAATTCTGCCCATCGTCCAAGACGTCGATGGATGTTAGTGATTAGCGTTCCGTCATCCTCGCAGATTGTTTCGCTCACACCAGACTTCTTGCTGCCAGTGGCTCGGATGAGTTGGAAGAGCTTCCGGTAATTGCCGGATGCAGCTGCTACTTCCAGCTCATTAGAACGCTCCGACCACCAGGTTTCTCGGTCCTTACGCAAGCTTTGCCCGATTTCGTTACGTAACATCCTTTGTCTGTCGTCAAACTCACGGTCACCCGGAGTAGACCGACGGGCTTCAATGAGTCGTAAACAACCAGAAGAAACCCAGTGCTTGTAAGCGGGACGTTTCGCGAACCCACAATAGACTCTACCCGCCATTTTCATGGCGTCATGCAATTGCAACCAATGCTCATCTATACTTTTCGGTGGAATGGTAGCTAGCCTAGAAGCTAGATCGGTTCTGTACTCACTAGCAACAGAATTTGCAACCAGCTTGCTAACATCAATCCTTTGGTGGCGGTCACTTCGTTGGCCACTGAAAAGTAAGGTAAGATTGACGCAGACCAGAGCATGGTCAGATTCCAGATAGGTACTCCAAAAGGAGAGGCAGTCTTGTACACAACCACGCCAGCGGTAGCTGATAGCGATGTGATCAATCTGAGTCCAGGCTTGAGATGTAGAAGGGGGACGCCAGGTGGCACATCGGCGATGACGGTGCCGAAAGTTAGTGCTAGCCAGAAACAGGTTGTGGTCTGTGCATATTTGCAGTAGACGTTCCCCGTTATCTGTCCTGCGACCAACAAGTCCCCATCGTCCACCTAAACGATTCTCTTCTGTGCCTAGACGCCCGTCCTGAGCATTCAAGTCTCCAGCTAGTACTACAATATTTGTCGAACGCACTTTCTGGAGAAGAACAGATAACTGGTGGTAGAATTCGTCCTTGATTGCATCCGGGCTGCAATCTGTCGGGACATAGGCGGAGATGACGAAAAGACATCGTTTCTCACGCCTATTTCTTCTCACTTTGATGGAACTTTCTAATCTAACAGCACATAACCGACTGTTAGTGGGGATCCAATCGATTAGTGTTGCCTCAGCTCTAGCGCTTAGTCAGTCAGTCAGCTGCAACGTAGGACCAGGCACGTATATGCATCGGTCCAAGTTGCCATACCGCATTAGCACAACAAGATGAACTCGGATTCATAGGAGTAGTTAATTCAGTGGTGGTAATATATAGAAGAAAGATTGTGTATATGGAGATAGTACAGGAAGAAAGAATTAGTTCGTAGAAAGAAAGATTTGAAGTGATTTTAATCTCTTAGTTTAAAGGAAGAGAGAGTGTATACACCGACGCCATTGTGATCGATTCTGAGCCATGTCACCAAGAGTCTCCAACCATTGGTTACGATAGTCACGCGGACCCCAACCAGGTAGTCTGAATCTCCCAACATGACTCAGACCAGAAGTTAGTGACTTCAAGCACTGATGCCACGTTTTGGTTTGGCCGCCCCTAACTTTCTTCCAATTATCCCCTGCACTAGTCAGCATTGCGCGTCGTGGTAATCGGTGTTCAGGCATACGCAGCACGTGGCCCAACCATCTCAGTCGATGAAGATTCATAACCTCATCAACTGATTTACCATCATTCCCTAATACCCTGCGTCTAACCTCACTATTACTTACCCGGTGATCCCAGCAGATACCCGCAATATTTCTAAGGCACCTGTGGTCAAATACTAGTAACTTACGAATATCTTCCACTCTTAAAGGCCATGTTTCGCAGCTGTATAGAAGGACGGAACGAACTGCCGCGCAGTATACTCGTCCCTTAATTGATAGACGAATATCTCGCCTTCGCCATAGATGATGTAAGTTGGCAAAGGCCAAGCGAGCTTTTCGAATCCGTGCTGAGATTTCGTCAGACACCAACCCATTAGGGCTGATCAGACTTCCAAGATAAGTGAAGTTGTCGGCGCGTTCGACTACTTCACCCCCTATCCTTAGTTCAGGTGTTGATGCAGACCAGTCCTGAAGCAACAACTTGCATTTAGAGGGAGAAAAGCGCATCCCAAACAATCGGGCATTGTTGCTCAGTGCTAACAAAAGACTCTGCATTTCGTCAGCGTCTTCACCAAACAGGACTATGTCATCTGCGTATTCCAAGTCAATAAGTGGACCTCCTGGTAGGAGATCAATACCCGAGAAGTCAGTCGATGAGAGCGTTATTTCCATCAGGATGTCTATGATAAAGTTAAACAAAAAAGGAGAAAGTGGACAGCCTTGACGGACGCCACTTGAGGTTGCAAAAGCAGATGACAGTTCGCCATAGGCTCTGACCCGACTAGTAGTGTTCGAGTAAAGAGCCTTCACAAGGTTTATGTACTTCTGAGGTACGCCTTTCAATGACAGACACTGCCACAGAACCTCTCGGTCAACAGAGTCAAACGCTGCTTTTAAGTCAAGGAATACCACCATTGTCGGACGCCGATAAGTATGCCTGTGTTCTAGAACCTGACGAATGGTGAATATGTGGTCGATGCAGCCACGACCAGGTCTGAAGCCAGCCTGATTTTCACGTGTTTGCAGCTCACGAGTTTTAGTTAGGCGTCCGAAAATTATCGAAGCTAGTATTTTAGATACTATATTAGTCAAACTAATCCCTCTGTGGTTGTCACAGGATGATTTTGACCCTTTCTTAAATATTGGGACGATAAGTGATTGTGACCAGTTAGATGGAATAACGTCTAACTCCCAGATTTTAGCTAAAATATTAGTCAACCTAATCGCTAAGACTAGACCACCATCCTTAAAGACCTCTGGGGGCGCTTAGTGCGACACCAACGCCAGCAAGACCAGACAAAGATGCCACAGGGTCCCCGGATAAACGCACGTAAAACAAGCTTTTTGAAGTGACAGACGGAGAGCGAATTTGTAGTACTTCACCAGAGTCTTGAATACGGGTCTCGGATAGACAACGCACGTCAATATTAAGACTTTCCAAAGACATAGCCAGCCCTATCTGTTGTCCGACCTGCATAAGTGTGCGAACGTTGAAGGCAGCCAGTTTGAATGGTGTACGTGGTTTCAGAAAAACTGCTTCAGTACTCATATTCGATGGTAACATACAATTTTCAACCAGGCAGTGACACGAGAACGTTTAGATAGAGCCGAATGTCCACCATAGGCGAGCTGCTGTATAAGTCGAAAAATAAGGATAGACAGAGTGGAAATAAAAGAGAGTGAATAAATGACGCAGTAAATAATAATAATAATAATAACAATAATAATAATGATGTGAAATGTCTGACGGTAAATCGCGGCGTGAATAGAGTTTTCAGAGAATATCATCATTTCCATTATATTTGTGTGTGGGCTGTGATACTGCCCGGGTGCCCAGACCAAAGCAGGTGGTTTTCTTGGGGGGCCACACCCCGAGCCTTCGACCTAAAGGTCTAACCCACAAGGCAGTGGAGCATCGTGAGGAGATGCAGTCCCATGGAAGCCGGTGACCAAGAAATTGGTTCGTACGTCATTTGTTCTCGCAGGATACTGGAGCCCATGTGCACCATTGATTTGGGATCCGGTTATACAGCCGGACATTCGCTTTTCGTCCTCTCATTTTCGTAAACAACACCCGTGGTGCGAGAAGGTTGTGAGTAGGACTTCCCTGGCAGAGGCTGTATACGCGTAGCCATGTGAGAGTATTTCGAGAGGGAGGGCGAACCCTCCCCGCTCTCGGCCATACCAGGGCATTTGGGGGCATTTCTCATTATGAATCTTAATTCTATCCCACCTTTTTATTTGGGATGTAATTACGTTCCTGTCCGACCGTGTTCTGATTTGGGAACTTGTCGAGTGAATTGGTGTCCAAGATTACTAAGCACTAGAGGTAACTGTGTTGAAATACGAAAAATTATAACATACGGAGAAGGGACTGAACCTTTGATATGTTTAATACTTTCATTCTTAGCATATGGTGACATAAATAAATCTTTGTTATTATTTTTCAACGCTCAGAAGTTACCATCACTAAGTGATTTGAATGTCCCTCATTTGTTATTTACTATACAATGGTTATGACGATCGATGACAAGAATGATTTACTACTTTCGCATTTCTAAGCACTTTCCAAATAATTTAAGACTGAGAGGCGTAACGACTCTAATTAGTACAGTAGCTCGGTATTTAATTGAAATCGGGCATAGCATTGACATTTTCCAATCCTTCAAAATTGTCGGTAGATATAAAAACACAACATTTCTCCAGTTCCTCGGAGCAGTAGCGATGAAACAACTCAAACCTAGTTTGTGTCCAGAAAGTGACAGTAATCAAGTTATCTCTACTTTAGTAAACTTATAGCTTTTGCTAATATCACGTGGAATCATTGTTTTTTGTTATTATCAGTAACATTACTTTATTAGTGTTTATTTTGTTATGTGGTCTTCATCAAACGGATTCTTATTTTATATACACCGAAATAATCCTCTTATTCATCGATTTTTTCTTGATTCCCTCAATTTTCTAAACTTGGAGAAACCTTAAGTTTTGTTTAATTATTACGTAAACCTTCAGTTTCTAATTCTAGACAATTAGTCACTTCACTACTCTAAATCTTCTATATATACTGTTAAGTGATCTAAAGTTTCTTTAATTACCACACAACCTATCTTATCTGTTTCCGGACCTCATTTAATTGCTGCCTCACACCCTCATTTTCAAATGACCTCACGCCTGTTCTTGCACATATATATGGTTATCATTAATAATCTTTAATATTTTATTTTTCTCCCGTCTGTAACGTTAATTGTTTCACATTGTATCATAACTCAATGTTACATTTTAATACACATCAATTGTTGTAAATGGTTGATAAGAGATCATGAAATATAGTGAATTTATATTATTCTGCCTTAATTATTATTATGGTTTTGTTCGAATTCCTAAAGCAAACCAATTGCATGGAACTGTTTTTTTCAAGTCTATGAAGATGTATTTTTTCTTGTCTACTTATAATCTGTCAAGCTGAAAATTTTGTTTGCTTACTTTTTCTAAAAGTTTATTTTTAGAAATATTGAATTCTAAACGTTCTCAAGATCTAGAAGAAATTATATTTCATTCGGATGGTTCTTGGTCGGCTCTGGGCGAAGAAATGGCTTCTAATCAATCAGAAAATACTAATGATAATACTACTACTACTAATAATAATAGTAAAAATCCATCTGAGCCATCTCCGTGTACTGATTATAATCAATTATATAGTTTACAAGAAAGCCCATATGCTTCAAGTCACATTACTTCAAATTCAATTAGGTCAGCTACTGATTCAGCTGGTTCTTCTTCGTTTGTACCATCATTTAATACTTTGTCTCCTGCTAGTTCGATAAGTTCGTCTAATCCAAACAATTCTTATCCTAATACATTATCAATGTCTCCTGCACTTGCTGTACGAACTGCAGCAATTGCACCATTGATAAGGAATGATGTAGATAATATTTCTGTCCCAAATACAACAAAAAGTACTTCTACTACTAGTATTACCACTAATACTAATTATCAGCCCTCGGTTACAGTTCAATCTTCACGAGATAAAGAACAAAATCAGCATATATCCCAAGAGGTTTGTTCTTTGTTTATATTTGTACTATGAATTATTATTAGTTTACTTTATTAAAGGAGTGTTGGAGGATGGGGAAGATTTCATGCAAAATATGTAATTTTTGATATCTTGTATTGTGAATAACAATTATCAATTTATTCTTTTGTTTTTAAATAGATGAATGAATTTTTGCAACATATTTAACTTTTAATATATATTTTTATTGTTTGTTTTGATCGGCTAGAATAGAGTGAAAATTATGTTGGGGTTTTTCTTTCTTTCTTCTTCTTCTTCTTCTTCTTCACTGTTATCATTTTTATGCATAGACAGATTTTTCTCCATTTTATGTTCACAAATCATCTGCACAATTTAACTTTAAATGTTTAATGACTGTTTTTGATTTTTATCCCCCCCCCCCAGAAAAACAACAAAACATTATTTCAATTATTAATGTTCTTATTTTACTTTGTATATGTGTAAGTTGTTCAATTTATGTTAATTTCTTACCAATAATTGATATCATTTAGAGAATCATTGGAAGATAGGGATTTGGAAAATGCTAGTGAATTATTAGATTTATATTTAATACCTGAATTAATGTATTGTGCTCAATGTCATCGGTTCAACTCTAACAAGGTTATAGGTACATACTATTTAAATTTTTGAACAGTCACGGGACAGCGACTATCTGAATGATTTCTCGTTTGAAATAGCTCTCCAACCGATATTAATTCGTGATGAAAATTTATTTTGTTCATATTTAAGGTAATTAAAAAAATAATCTTTTTCTTTTCATTATTATTTTTCTTGATCATTTATACCAGCTTCCCTCCTTCACTATTGACTTAACATTATCTGATGATGAAAATGAACAACAGGGCATAAGTGCTCGAGAAACTGCAAGTAAGTGTATAAGTACAATACATTTTCTTTATGTATAATTTTGTGCATAAATTATAACATCTGGTACCTATTTAAGGAGCTGTGTTGTGTGTAATTGAGATACTATCTTTGAGCTGTTATTGTTGTTGTTGTTGTATATTAACTTTAAATCTTCATGTTTTATCCAGTATGCAATTTAGCCATCAGGCTAATTGTTTATGATAAGAGATGGATCAACAATAATATTCGGGATTAACAATCTTTGTTAGCATACATTCAGCAGAAAGTGAATGTAACGCTCAATACTGTTTATCCCCTAGTTTGCATTTATCTATGTTAAAGGGTAGAAGAAAAGAAACAATAACTTGTGTCTGGATCGAATCTTTCATAATTATTGCGTCATTGACATGTTTTAATGCTACTTTTAATATAATAAAATACTAATATTGGTGATAACCAACATATAGGACACTGAGTTTGCGAAACATTTGGGGAAGATATGTAATCTGTAGTGGCTGGCCCTATGTAGAGCTCACATAGGTTGTTCTATTTTCTGGATAAGCCAATCTGTTGATTCGTCTTAAACCACATTTTGACCTTGTCACTTATTCGCTTATTAATTCTGAATGTTTTTATATGTGTGTGTATTTCTTATCTTACTCACCACATGTCTGTAACTTATTTTTGTCTGACTATAAATATTGAGTAACGCTTGGTTAGATTGATTTAGCTCATTCGCCACCCCCGTTACACTTCACTCTGTTTTGCTTCCCTTTCGGACCAACGATTGTACGAAATAAACGCATTCAAACTTCATTCTTGTGCTGTACGTGTTTTAATTCCGTTATTCACCAACGCGATTAAACTCGATTATATATACTAGGATTGGCGACACGTATATTTCGATAACAAGCAACAAACGATTTACCTAGTCAGATATTGGACCAATAAAAATCCAACCATCATTTTAATTTCCTTGACCATGCTGTTCGTATACTATTTGGACAGTAAAAATAAATACACCTAACCTGGGGAATTTACGGAAAAGTACAATTTCTGAAGTTTTGCATATCCAATTCAGATGTCTTTGATGATCATGGTAATAATAGTCTGCTGCCGGTCAAATCCAAAAATTTTGGATTCTGTCATGTTAAGTAGAATGTGATGCTGGCGCTGATCACCATGGCAATATAATTTTAAATTTTTTGAAATATTTTATTGATGTGATACGACTAGTGGTACTATAGCAAATTTAAACTTAATATACCTTGTATTCATCAGCCTCCTTTCGTTTATGATTCCTCATAAAATTTGCTGAAATTTTTATGACGTCATTTACTTTATCAATGTACGTAATACTGATATTATAGATAAGGCCTTTCAGATATCTGCTTTGAAAATGGCATCGTATACGTTCAATTTTCCTTTTTCCCTCTCACATACACTTATCGTAACTTACAGGTTTTTGCTTGTTGAACGTACTTTTTTCCGTGGCTATTTTTACATGTTTCCTTACTGTACGACTATACGGGTTAACTACTTGTTCTGGATACTTGTAAATAATTCTTCGTGGTTGATGATGCTTAAGTTTACCATCCTCTATTAGATTTGATCACAAAGAGGCAGTTAAGTATTTATCTATTACGTTCGTTATATATTTCATTTATAGTTTATAATTCACTTTACTTCTGCACTATTCAAGTGATACATGATAGTTTCATTTTGTTACCATCAAACCCAACGAACCACGCTATATTTAACTGAATATTATTGTATGAATAGAGTGAGTATATTTAGGCAAGAAATTTCAAAATAACATAACTTGAAAACCAATACCCAAGTAAATGAAAATATAACAGCTATGGTTATAAGGGAATGACATTATGTTAAAACTAGGAGTTTTTATCTTGATGTTAGTCATATAAGGTCAATGGCTTGTTCTTAATTTTTTTGACCAAAATATCGATAAAGATATTTTCAAGAAAAAAATTGTAAGACGATGTTACAAGTGTCCGTTGTTATAGGAGCTACCCATTAAAATGTTAGAAATGAATTATCATATCTTTCAATAAATTAATTACATTTGTTCGTTCATATCAGTTTAATTTTAGTGTAAATTTTATTCATACATATACGAAATTATCTTCTAAGATGTTTACAAATGTAATAATTGTTTGTAAACATTAACCTATCTCCAATAAAACATTGCCTAATCGAATATTATCAATATGAACTTGTTCTATTATAATTTTGTTTTTTTTACTTATTAGTTTTTTATATTCATTTTTTAGCCAATGGATTACATCTGAGGTTTTTTAATCTTTATATAAATTTACAATGATCATATCATAAGCTTAAGTTATTTTACAGATTTTATTTATATTGAGTACTATATTATAGTAATTTCAATAGTTGAGATCATGGGTCAATTGAAGTTAGACCTCAAAGGAAAACCTGGAAGCACTGGATGGCAGTTTCACCCTATTGTGGGACTCCTCAGCAGTGCGCACCAACGATCCTGCCTCGCGAGATTCAAACTGCTTGAAAGTTCTACGATAGAACGGAATGGACATCCAGTGCTTCCAGGTTTTCCATGATGGTCTAACTTCAATTGACTCATGATCTCAACTATTGAAATGACTATAAGATCCACAAAAAACCCATCTGATATTATATTACACTCAAGATTTGGATTTTATATTTGTTTTGTTTACAAGAGTGTTTTTCTTTTCTTTGTTTTTTGGTTAAATTAAACTTGATTACTTTATTCAATAGAATCTTCTATTACATCATAGATCATATAGATGTGTAGTTTTTTTTAGTTAATTCGAAATATTTTGATTGGTTTTTGAGAAAATTAACTGAATATTTTGTTAATCATTAATCTTATTCATATTAATATGATAGTTATTGTATTATATTAGATTATTTTCATTAATTTAATATATTCAAATAATTAATTAGTTAATTTTTTATTGTTAATAATATAATTCTAAAAAAAGTGATTTGTAAATGAATCTTCTTTTTAATAATCAACGATTTTATTGTATTTTATAAGAATTAATTGATATAATTCAACGAATTTGTCTAGTAAATATTCAACTCTGTTGTAATTCAGTATTTGACTCAGCGGTTATTAAACTGTTTCAAATTCAAAAATAAGTAACCTATAATTTCGAAGTTCATTTGACTTCTTTTCTCTCTCGAAATGTTCCATTGAATACTTTCATTTACTTCGAAAAAAAACTTAAAAAATAATGGATTTTTTCCTAGGTAGCATTCAAGTTCCTACAAAGGACAATAATTCTTCTTCGCGTCCTATTAATACAGTAACATCATATTCTTCTTCTTCATCATCGTCATCATCATCATCATCTTTGTCACCGCAATTCCCTCCTAGTGATTTATCTCAGTCTTCGCATTATTCTGAAAACAATTATCAACTTCCATTTTCATTACACACGAGTAATAGACCGTCTTCAATAGCATTATCAAGTAATTCTAACTCTAAAAGTTCTAATCAGTCGAGTTCTATACCTCCTGTTTATTCATCAGAACCAAATTCTACACAATCAGTTAGTGTTAGTCAAAATCTTGGAGTTCCTAATGTTTCTGTAACGAATGTCCTTTCAAATCAAAGGCGTTATCCTCCTGTTAGCAGTGAACAGAAACTAGTACAAGGACCGGCTACTAGCATACTTTGTTCTGCTACTAAATGTGATGTTCCTGTTAGTTTACCTTCAATTGGTAAGCTTTGTTTTTATATATCACGTGTAAAACTGGGTTTCAGTTGACAAATGTCTTCCCACTGTTATACTGACTGTCGAAACATGAACTCCACGTATCCAATCTATTCACTTATCACTGAAGTGAATTAACTTTTTCTCTCAAGGGCCACGCAAATTCAGATATTGTGTCTGTAGGTTTCATATGGATGATACCGAAATGTTTTTCATTAAGCATCTAATAAGTATCATTTATTTCTGAAAATAACATATAATAGCCAAATTATCATTAATGATTTCATTTCATCAGTGGATTAGGTGCAGCTAGGATGATCATAATGTTATGAATAACAAAACGATATGCTCAGTTATTTACCTGAGTACAACAAGGGATCACACGCATTTATTTAAGTGTCCATGTAGGTACTAACTGGAGCATTGTCCTGTCTTTCTTATTCTTTACCTTCAATATAATTTCATCACACTTTTTATTCATACTTATTTCGGCTATGATCTCTGCAAACAACGTGCGAAGCAAAGACTGTCAGTATTGGTTATCCTAAAAATATCATGTTAACTTATCGTAGAGACTGGGTCTAAATTTGATGCATTGGCCTCAACGACTAGGTTGATTGACTTTTGTGACGGAATAAAAAGGTAATATTATTTCGGTCGATATTTTTTCCGTATCAATTCACTATCGATTTCGACCTGGGTGACAGATGTGAACTTAGTGTGTGACGTTTTAGAGCCAATATTTCTGGTGTAAATTCAGCATAAACTTTCAATATGATGAGTGTGAACTTTCGTTCAGTGTGACATTTGTGTTCCCTGTACACGCGAACTATATTCAGTGTGTGTTTTTAGAGTAACTATTTATTTTCCTCCAAATGTGATATTATTAAGCGTGTGTAAACGATAGTATATAAATGATTGTTTTTTGGTCTAACGAAGACGTGATTTTATGAGTTGTTTATGAACGTATTTTTGGAGAGTCAATAAATTTCCATTACACCAGGCTTTTATGTTCTTACTTTGCGTCATGTGAATTGCTATGGTTCCCGGTTTTCAAGTATAAAAGCAGTAAGACTGCTGACCCAACTGAGGCGATACGCACGTAACAGAGATGACACACCAGACATAACAGAGTCGACTCCAGATAGATATACGTATATTAGTCTTCAAAATGATTTATTATTTTCCTCACTCTACTTCACAAGTCATATTTCTTTGCGAAGATGTCATATTGGTAAAGGTTTTACTAAAATATACCGGCATGCATCATAGGCATTTTTATTAGCCTTATACCAATAATTAACTCTTATGTTTCTCAGTTACTTCAGCATCATGTGGAGGTAAACGTCCAAGCTCATCAGATTATAATTTTTCATCATTGAATTTCTATCAATCTGGGACTCAATCTGTAAGTAATAATAATGGGTTACGTTACAGTTCAACCGTTCACACTACATCTGTTGCAAATGAATCCGGTCAGTATTCTTTTCCAACAGCAAAAGTACCTCGGATTGAAATTCCACATAGTCAACATTATGGATCGTCTTCAACGCAATCTCAGGGATCCTGTTCTAATAATAATAATAATGGTTATAATAATTCTAGACGGTGTACAAATAGTCCATCTGGTTCAAATCCTTATACATATCATTCCAATATAACTCGACAGATGCCATCTGATGGATATCATAGCAACAGACTGACGTCGTCAACATTCCATTCAGGTCAATCTTCCGATCATTTTTATCCCAATGAACATACAACAAATACAAGTAGTCGATATACATATTATAATCCTAATGAATCCGGCAATAATAATAATAATAATAGAACATACTGCTATTATCCATCCTCAAGACATGTTAGTTATCCTACATCCGATTCTGGAACAATTTATCCATATAATAGACAACCATTATCTCATATTCGTAGTCCTTATGAAACTCACCACAGAAATATAATAGTAAGTTCTACTTTTTTTTCTGAAATTTAACTGTTTATTTTAGAAAGAAATTTACTCAATTTTTTTCGAATAGTACATTACGGTGGTTTTTTTGTTACTCTATTTGTTAGTGTATAGACCTTTTAAGTTAGCTGGAGGTTTTATCAGTTATTCTAACTTTGTTCACTTAAATTATTTTACTTTACAACAGAATTATTTATCGGAGATATCTTTTGAATAAGTTTTTATTTAGATGTCTGTATTTAATTTTGTTATAAAGGATATAATTTAATTTATCAGTAGTAGTGCTTATTCATGCTCATACATTAGTAACATACAATATATTTGTATAATAATTTCTTTATTATTATTATTATTATTATTATTATTATTATTATTATTATTCATTTAGAATAGCTCTTTGCCAAGAGATACACTTCATCATAATTCACAAATGAGGCCTTCTGATATAACTAATTCAACATATTGTGGTAACTCAGTTGACTCACGTAGAGGATTTCATTGATGTTTTAAAATCGGTAAATTTTATGTGAATAACATGTTTTTAAAAAATATTGTATATTTATTTAATTTTAGTTGTTTTGTACAAGTTTATGATGTCTTCATTTTATAATGGATTTACTTCAACTCATTACTTAACGGAAATTAATTAGGTATTCTATTTGGTTATATAAATGCATCATAGTTAGATTTAGACTATCGTGGCAAAGCAATGTAACAGTATTAAAAATTAGTTTTTGAAAATGTCGACCGTGTTTTCTGGAATATGTATAATTTTTAGATGAACATCTGGACGCTATATATATATATATATATATATATATATATATATATATATATATATATATATATATATATATATATATATATATATATATATATATATATATATATATATATATATATATATATATATAAACTGAAGTCTCAAAGCTGGAACATTAATGGATTAAGACAAGCTTCCGTACTTCTTAACAATACGGCAGAAAAATTTTTAATGTACATAAGAAACGGGGATGTGGTTTCGAGATTTATTGTGTGTTTCATATAAAATGAATACTGCTGTACGATTTCGTTAGTATTCTAAGGTCCCCACATACTGAGATATCCCAATAAATAATATCTTTTGCATTTTTCTAGATATATGAGGTTAACAGCCATTTGTTCTGTGAGTCGACCCGTTATCTCCATTTAAAACATACTTCAAACTCTAATGAAAATTACTGCTACGGTTTTAGCGTGCATAACGTGTCTCATTTATTTCAGTTATAAAAAGAAAAGATATTGGTAAATTATTTGCCTTTCTCACTCATAAGTCCACTTTCAACTTCACGATCCTTTATTCATTATTATCATCCACATTTACTGACTCCTAATCTTCCAGTGATGCCTTCATTTTGACAGATCTGAGGAAAACGGTCTACTGCTATTTATATTTATAGTTGGATGCATCGCCCATGAATGAGCCTGGTAAAATCTGATCAGTGTACAACTATGGTTTAGGTCTATATGTTTAGTCGTTGAACTGTATGAACCCCAATGTATCCACCTCAGTTTATAACGTCGAATAATATCTCGAACCTTCGTTTAATAAACCAAATCCAAACCTTGTTACACAGCTATGAACTTGGTTTTATTAACATTCTTGAAATTCATTTAGGTATATACCTGATGTCATTTCATCAATGGAGTGTGCCTAAACTTATAGAGTAGATAAAAGCCACATTCATTTCATTTCCTATTATTAACTTAAGAATTAATCGTCAATGTTATTGTAAGTTTTCCATGAATTTATTATTGTTAACTAATAGTTTTATTAGTGTAACTGCATTTTCTTTTTAGATTTTCCTAATAAAATAAAAGAAGATAACCGTTTCATTACTTCTGATGAATTCTTTTTTCTCTGTTAATTGAATGTACACATTTTTCAATAATCTACTTTCTTTCTACCTATTTGTCTTAAGCAAAAGATTGATTTGTAAATATCATTCATTTTTGAAGATAGACAATAATAAATCATTCGCTTCTTGCCTTTTCTTTTTAATGTATAACAGAATTTACACAGATTACATTTGCATTTTCTTTTCCATGTTGGTTTTTCTGTAAATGATTTTTATTTTTATGTAGACTACTTAATAAATAAGCTGTAACAGGAATTATTTATCTATCGTATATATATATATATATATATATATATATATATATATATATATATATATATATATATATATATATATATAGTTAATCTTGCTATTTTCTACTGCTCACTACTGTGACATCATGTCAACTGACGAAGTTTAGTAAAAAGGCATGGATGAATCAAAAACTATAATTCTTTTTACCTCTAAATACTTCCTTACTCTGTAATTGACATTATCATTCGTTTTGATTTGACAGCATGCACTTGACATTGAGAATAATATGTTGATGTACATGTATCTTATCAGCGCTATTTTAAACTTCAATACTCCAAGTATGGTACATATTACACTAAGTTTCCTTATAAAGGGCGCCATATTTGTTACCGCATTTTTCTATCAGATTATTGTTCACCTTTTGTTGACTAGGCTTATTAAATGACCAATCAATTCATTATGTATAGTTTTATTTATCTACCTTCTTGTTGTATAAAATACAGTTATGTTTATTATTATCATCATTTTATTCATGCTGTCTCTCTCCAATTTGATTGCAATCTAATCTAAGTGAATGTCTACATATATTCTCCTGTTTATGTTGAGTTTTCTAACTATATTCTTTGTAAATGTTTTAAAGTGTTAGTGTATTTCAGTTATGCTTATTTTAGGGAAACACGTGATTTGTATAAAAGAGACTTGAACTTGTATAAAATTAATTTCCTTTTTCTTTTATGTTTCATACTTACTGGATTGTTGTTTTCATCGTAAGTTTTTGTGCATGGATAATTTTAATTAATCCACTTCAGTTATACTTAGATGCGGTTTTTGAGTTAGAAAGTAATAATTGTTTCTCATGGATATGTTCACTAAAACGTCTACTGAAATAATTTCGCATTAATCATCAATACAAATTAGTGATCTATTGGAACTCTTGGTGTATAAGTGTTTAATTTTCATCATTTTATGCCTCATGTTACGTTTACTTCTACTTAAGCATCCAAATTGTTTCACTAGCCTTCACAGTACTTGTAGTTCATTGTTAATTACTTAAACCGGTCACTACGTTCCATCAGAATTTAATTATGTAGTCTTTTATGCAGAGGACTGTCACTCCTTATTCTTTAGATCTCAAAATTGTTATGCTGTCTCATTATTGTGGTTTGTTTCATATGCTGATTGTATTGATAGTCATTTAGAATCCACTGCAATGTAGGAAGAAAGTGTGCGTTTATCTGTTTGAAAATTGCGATTCGATGATAAATTTACGAAGAACTAAGACTTGATGTGGTTTCATGTCAGAATGGCATTGTAAATTAAGGCTTTAGTCGATATCACTAAAGATATGCATTCACCAATAACAAGCCTTAACGAGATGACGAGATAACATTAACTCCTGTTGGTATAACATATCTATTCACACAATGATTGGGACTATCAGTTATAACAAATAAGACTGAAGAAAATCCGGTTTCATCAGTTTTTTAAAGGAATCGGCCTCATCCTGTTAACCGAGTTGTCAACGTTAGTTGGGTAAGATCCCATATTTCCTAGATTTTTACTCATTTGTTAGGTGTTTTCAATAAATTAACAGTAGAGAAGTTGATATGCATCAGTGATTGTGTGGTGTGTGCTAGTTATGTCGACGATATAAGTAGTATGTAACACCAATTGGAAGTGGAAGACCTGGCAGCAGACGGCTATGAAGGTTAACTTGAAGAAAATGGAAGCAGAATTAGAAAGGAATGGTGAACCGGAAAAATCATACATAATGTGAAAGAAATGTTGAAAATTTGCAAATGAAGACTTTCATTGATGGTTCTCATAATTTACTAAGACTGTAATTTTGTATTAAAATACATTTGACCGTCCTCACCTGAATCTTCGTTCGTTACAACTGACCTAAACAGGAAAAATTAACTTATGAAGCCTGTGCATTTAGAACAGCTCGTCTATTTATTTTAGTTCCAAGACATATGTTTAGGAGTTGTAGCAAAAAAGATATTCTCTACTGGGTTTACCTTCTGTTTTAATATTCTTCTAGTAGCCATCTTTCGTTGAACTCATTTACATATCTACATTCCAGAATATTACGTTGCGACGGGCGGTGTCCGGGATCTGATACTAATGCATGGTGTGCTGCGTGCTAAGCCCAAAACTGAATACTTGAGCGGGAAAGTGTATTGGGCTACTGAATAAAATGCGCATATATATATGCTTAATAAACATAGAGAGAGAGGATTGTCTGTCTGGTTTAAGGCCTTGAAGATTCCTTTAGACTTGCTATGCATGAGCTCGATTGTGACTGCCAATTTTAAAGACAGGTAGAAGGAAACTATTCTATCATGAACCTGATAGGTTGCCTAGCAGAAAAAGAGTAGACGATAAGCTGGATAGGTTGTCCGGTTTACTACTGGTTCGAACTAACTTAAAAAAGCATATATGACTAACATGATCATATCGCCTAAAGAATTATAAAAATACATTATTGTAGAAAAATGGGATATAAAGTTCACATTTAAATAACAGTAATTTCGGAATAAAAAGTAGCACGTCGGTGACTTATGCATTAAATAAAAGCTTATGATTCATAGAATTAAACATTCACGATCCCGCTCGCACTGCGGAGGGGTCCCATAATAGGACGAAATGGCCGTCTAGTGCTTTCAGGTTCTCAGTAGTCGTCTAATATCAATCAGTTCATGATCTCAAACAAAAACGTAGTTATCTACACAACCCTGTACTGATAAATGCTAGAACATTACTGAGTCTAGATACCTTGGAAGTACCTTCCGTTGTTCTCCATCGCTTTTCATTTCTTTCTTTACATCGATATATATCAAATTTCTGACCCATAGGTCCAATAAAAGTTTCTTGACTGACCATAGTATCCATGCATGCTACCTTACTAGTAGGAATTAAATTAGAGACCAGCACCTTATGTTATTAATCTGAGGTAGGTTTTTATTTTACTTCATATTATGATTTGCTGTTGGAATAACCTTATTAGACAAATTATCATATATTTAAGGAAACCAGCATAAACTGTTCAGTCAGTTTTCATAGTAACTTTAGTTTGCTCAAACATGTATATGAACATTAATTTTCTTGTAATACTATTAATGCAAATTTGTTTGGTTACATTGTCTTCATTCTGTTAACTTTTAACTTCCGACTTATTTATCACTTTATTCATGCTTTTTCTTAATACTTTATATTCTGTAGATTATTTTTACCAAAGTTCACAATTTACTTTCATAATTATTGTAACCTAGTTTTTTAATAATCCCTTTTTTATAAAAAGAATTATTTTTTAAGTTTTACAATAAAATATTTCAATTTTTTTCCTTATTAAGGTGATATTATTCTT